TACGTTTATGTCACTGATCGAATAATATATGTTAATCTGAAACGAACCTGAGATAAATATATGTGCACAATTCTACAAATACGGAAATATCCCTTTTTTTATTTTCTTATCAGTGCTATATTTGTGTGTCAATCGACCTGATAGAGATGCACTTTCCCCAGCTTCCCAGATCTGTGGCGACTCTCAATTGATAACATATTACAGCAACTGTAAGATTTGTCTGATGGATTAACCGTTGCGGTTGAACGAATTTTGTGTAAGCAAAATTGATTGTACCGATTTTTTCTCAATGTACGGTAATATTCGACGGTAAAATAGGATACATTTGCTTTTCTTTCTGCGCAAAGAGTATTACAACAAAAAAAATCGTTACCGATCCGGCTACCGTTCGACGCGCGAGTTCGCTCGCGTGTCGACCGGCGGGCGAACGTTCGACGGCGGCGAATCGACGTCGATAGACTCGTAATTAAAGGCCATTCACGCGGCCGGTGATACGAAGTGAGATTACGCGGTGGGCTCGGCTTTAATGAATCTACGATGTACCGTCAGTCAATCTTTGCCCTCCCGCGAAAACTCGCGCTCGATGCGTCGATGGGTTTCCGATTCGAATGTAATTGAATGCGACGTGTCGAGTAGCGTTTCCCGATATTAAACAAACACGCTAACGAATATCATTCATGGTTATTTGCGACGTCGATCAGATGCGATCGGAACTGACGTCTCGCATCGAAATGCTATAAATGAGCCCGTGTACACGACGCGGTATCGCGGAGAAATCACGTACACGCTATCGCACATGATTTTCACGAGCCTCGTTATTTTCTGCCTTTCGATTGATCGGTGTGCCCGGCGACTTTTCAGTGAAATCAGTCAGCGGGCCCCGACTCGCGGCTGATAATTTATTAGCATGCGGGTTGTCACTTAATGTTGATCGATCGCGCAGTCACGCGGAAGCGAGACATTCGCGTACCATAAAGACGGATCTTTCTCTCGCCGGCCGTGGCGCGATTGCGGTTGTATCCTTCGCGCGGACAAGTGGAAAGGTCGAGGTGGGAAGGCACGTAAGACGCTTTCGCGTAGCGGTGCAGGGATCAAAACTTTTCAGCCAGCCAGCGAGCGAGCGTCTCATAATTTATTCCCGCGCGAGCGAAAGAGAGGAGAGGGACACTCGGAACGACGTGCCACCGTGCATAAAGAGCGTAGGGATTTCTCTGTCTCTCCGCTCCCCGTCCTCTCTCTTCTTTTTTTTCTCGCGTCCCCTTTTTTATATTCGCTCGGCCGCGTCACAAATCCCACAAACGAGCCGGAACGTATTACTACTCTTCTCCCGCGTCTGTTCGCTCGGGGTCTTCCTTACGCGTCTTTCATCTTTCTTCCGTCTAATTTCCGCAACGCCGTATAATTCGCGACGTTGTTCGCATCCGAGCGACAATGTACACCACTTGGCGAATAATTAAACGCCGTCGGGCAATAATAATCGCGATAGCCGCAGAAGAGATAATTCAGAGGCGCTGGAGCGGGCGAGAGAGATAGAGAGAAAGAGAGAGATATACGAGTCACTAGGAATCACTTCTATGAAGTTGGTCTCGCTTTTATAAAATTTGAGAAAAACAAGCAGAGTTCTGTGCGCCTCCCCTCCCGGCCCAAAGAATTGTAAAAGTTTTTAATCGATTTAAAAAATTAAGCGCTTTTATTCTTAAGGATAATTGATAGAGCTTTTTGGCCCATTATCAAAACTCTCAATGGAATGTCAAAATTCCCCAAAAAATTCCATCTTCTGGGATTTAGGAAATTCCGGATAACGAAACTTTGAAGCGCTGTAAATTTTAATGTTTCAGTTTTTGATTTTAGCACTTCCAAAAATACATAAATCGTGGACAATTAATCTCAATATGTTAATTTAAAGAAAGCATACTCTTAGGATTCCATGAGAACAAAATCAATTATAATCAAATAAAAAAATTTTATATACTTTGACATCAGCTGACATGTTATATAATTAAATAAAAAAATAGTTCTCCGAGGAGTTCTATCGGTTATCCTTAAGAATTGACGTGCTAATGTCGAAAACTGAAAAGTTGCAGCTTCGAAGTTTGGTTGTTTGAAATTTTTTAAGAGGATAACATTTTTTTCCGAAACTTGGTATTTCGTTGAGAGCTCCGGTAGTCTTCCGAATAATTCTTAAGGATAATCTATCGATTACCCTTAAGAATTGATGCGCTGAAATTGAAGGTAAAAAAATTATGGCGTTTTAAAGTTACACAATCGTGAAGTTGCCATCCCCTCTCTCCTGCACATTTATACGATGTTTCGGCCGCTTTAATCGACGAAACTTTTTCTAAAATCGATTAAGAACTTGAGAACTCTTTGGGGGAGGGGTAACCGGAACTCTGCTTATTTTTTTCAAATTTTTAAGAAGTTGCGTCAACTTCACAGAGGTCTAGGGATTGCATGGAACTCATGCGTGGGAACATGTTGTACGTCACGCGGATTAAAATCGGATTGTATATATCGACGGGGCGGGGAATGGGACGGATGGCGTATATCCGTGATGTACGTTTTTTAAATTAACGACCGACACAATCGATGGAATTCCGGCGCGTGAGCGCCGCGGGAAATACACGTTTCTGCCGGTATCACGTGTTCCGCGTAATTGATGTCCGATCGATCGCTGGTCGCGTCAGATAGACACGTTGCACCGTGATAACGCTTCATGAGATCGGAAATAAATCGCTCGCGATAAAATTGACCGATTCCGTTTATTCGCCGCGCGAACAATGCGCCCCTCGATCGCAGAACTGCAGTCTCATTCTGCAAGAATATTGCGCGCGCGTTGATTGTTGATCGCGTGAATTTTTGCAGAGAGCCTAGAAACTAAGCTCGAAAGGTAGATAATCGTTCGTGTCTAGCTTGAAGCGTTACATAAAGGGAGATTATTTGCGTTACACAACACCGCGATATTGATTAATGAAGAGAATTCACAATTATCGCGTCACGAGGAATGAGTAAGCGCGATGAAAATGTTTCCGCCGAGGAGGAAACAGCATCCGCGAAACGCCGAGGGATTCGAAAGGAGTTAAATTTCGCGGGTTCGACGCGATGGGACGAATCGATATCGCCAGCCGATCGATCAACGACGTCCCTATTCGCAATCGCGTCTAAGTGCACCGCGTCTGGATGCGCCGCTCAATAAGATCGAAAGTGGAGCGAGTCGCGCGCTCGGCTCCTCGCTGAGTGTTTTAAGGCATACGGCGCGATGGGACCCGTGAATCAAATCGCCGGTTAATCCCGATGGTAATTACGGGTAAATTCAATCGAATTAATGGCCGTGCCGGTGCGTCGCGTGAGTTATCGCCGGCTGCCAGAGACAGGGTTGGACTTCGTGACCCGGTATCGCGTCGGTCCCCGATATTGGCAGCGCCTCAGAGTCTCAGAAACGAGAGGAACAATAGTCCAACGCCCCCGCCGGCGGTGTTATCTTTGACGTTGCCGATCCCTTGTGATCGGCGGAATTTCGTCTCTCGTGTTAGTGTCGCAGAGACAGCGCTGCCGTCCAGTCAGAGGGACAAGAAAGTGAAATAGTGAGCGCTTCCTGAAACACATCCTGTATTGACTCATTGGACGATAATGAATACTTTAGTGACTTGTCAAGAAAAAGTAATGAAAAGTGACTCGAGCGACTGGATGGTAGCGCTGCGGAGATCAAGGAAAAATCTCGTCGATTATGAGAGCTTGTAAACGCGCAATTATCGAACGGTTTGTTTTTCGTAAAACCGGACTTTTTTTTAATTAAAAGGAAACAAAGGGAGGGGAAAAAGAACGTGTCGCTCGTTCGTCGGGAATAGCTCTCTCTCTCTCTCTCTCCATTATGTAACGTCGGTGACGAATAAAGCAATACCTACGCAAGCCACGCGCGACGGAACGAACACGTTTCGAGAGGAAATCGAGCGACGCTTTGTACGCGTCGAATGCCGCGTACTTTAAACGTCTTCGGCTGTGCCGTAAGGCGCGTACTTTATTGCGTCCGATTTTATTTCCGTTTCGTTACGGACAGGGATAACAACACACTCGGACGGTGCACATACCGGCCCGCGCGCGCGCGATGAATTTTTGCACGCGCGACCGGGCGAAGTGACGTTGCATCGTCGGCACTGCTAATGGACTGCGACGTTTTTACAGGCGGAGCTAAAAGCTCCGGCCCATAACAGTGACGTTTTGCATGCGTACTATTTATACTTGTGCACTATTAGCCGGCTGATACGATGAGACCGGGGATGCGGGGACGAGGAAGAAACGTTAGAAATCGCGTTTACAAGCGGCGCGTCCGTACATCGTTGTCGACCGGGAAAATAATTCGTGATTTTAATTTAACTTGGCGAGTCGTTATCTCACATTAATCTTATCTGTGGGCAAGAAAAAGTCAACACAACATACAGCACACCGCGGTAAATTCTGAAAAGCGGGAGCTCTCCGCATAATCCTAAGACGTCGGAATCTAATTAACGAGAGACGCATCCGCTAAAATTAAGTAGCTCAAATTCCAACGTTGTATTTTTATCGGGAACTTCACGCCCGACACACCTCGGCGGGAAGAACCGTCCACTCTTAGTATTCTCTCTCGTAATATCGTTTGTTCGCGAAGGAGACACCTCTTTTTCTTCGCGTCTCGCTTCCCTTCTCCCTCCACACGCAATATTTCCACCCGCCCGAATCCGCATTAAAAATCGCCTCATTCGCAACTTTTCGCGGGCACCCGCTGCATTTCGCGCGAGATTCACTCGACTCGTGAGAACAATCGTGGGATAAATAAACGCGTTTCTTCAGCAGAGTTAAGGTAGAATCCGCCCGAGGAAAGGGAGGAGGGAGACGTGTTCGCGATTCCGTGCCGATCTCGAGAGCTCCGGGGCGCAATATCCTACGGGTCCTTCTCGCAGGACAGTCCTTCGAGGATTTGACGACGAAGTAAAATCTCCGCGACTCTAGGTGACACGAGAAAGAGAGCCGAGGGAGAGCCGGAGGGGCCGAGGTAGCTCGACGACGACGACGACGACAGCGGCGGCGACAACTCGTATAACCCAGATGCATAGGAAACAATCGCGAGCAAAAGCGACAATAATGACGGCGTTAGAGATAAGTGGAAACCACGACAATAAATATGCAAGACTGATACCGCTGGAGGAAAGGATAACACTGCCCGTGTAGAAGGAGATAGTGGCGTATCGATTGCGCGGCGAAATATCCCCCTTCGCTTCGCAGCACGGACGAAACGCTCGTGCGAGAAACTTCGCCAGCCAGTACACCGCGTGTCTTCCCGCGAGAGGAGTACTTGGAGTATATATACCTGGGGGAGTACTTCGAATATCGACTAACCTCTGTACGGAGCGGAGGTGAGAACATGGAAATCGCGCGCGGCGCGCCTCCTACCACCGATCGCGACTCCGTCAACGTCCCGGCGATCCCGTGGTGCGTGAGTTCTTAGGCGAGGCAAGCAGAAGAGAAACGCGAAGAGATGTCACTGAATCACAGATACTACGTAAGTATCGGATTGGTTTTCGAAAGTAGGGGTGAACCCGTCGAGATGAGCCGCGAACATCTCGCGGGTGAACGAGCGAACGTATCGCGCGGCTTTATCGTCCATCTCCCCCGCCTTCTGTTCTGCCGAAACGGCAATAAATGTCGCGGGATAAAACGCGAGGAGGATTTCTCGCGGGTCTTAAACTCCGAAACGTTCATTTGGCAGATAAGCTGTTTTCCTTCGCGCCCGCGCGCATGCAAAAAGTACAATACATCCCGACTCGTTGTATTCATCTTTACGCGAGCGAAAGTTTTTTAGTTCACGAGAGCTGCTGAAGAAGCACTCTCATCGCTATCAACTTTAAAGTCGGTTAGTGGGTTGGACAGCGCGTCGAAAGTGAGAGATAAATATTAAAGGAGAATTTAATCGAGACACTATTGCGAGAGCAGCGCGGGCACAGCGACAATGGCCGGCGTTATCGCGCGAGTAGCGCGCGTTATCAATGAAAAAACGCATTCACGAAAAGTCGCTTAATCATTTAGCTTAATTACCGAGATACCCGTTTATCGTAAGCGCCTACGATTACGGACAACAATACGGCGCGAGCTGGTTTTTTTTTTTTTTTTTTGGCGCGACAACTCTCCCCGTTCTCTCCTGCCCGCCGCACAAATTACGTTGCTCCAGTTAATAAAGTATGCCGAGATTACGGCTGTTTCGCGTCGCACAATGCGCCGTGCTCGGCGACAAATTCGAATCTCTCTCCACCGTACGGTTATTGTTCGCAATGGCCGTAGCCAGAACATAATAGATAAGCGTGGACCTCGTAGGCCAGCGCGTCGCTGCTAGATATCGACCGCTCTGTCTCCTATCCTTCCTGTGCATCTCCCGTGGCGCGGCTACATCCGAGAAATTAAAGCTGTCCGTTCTGAAACCTCCTTACCTAGCCGCCCTAACATTTCAACGATGCCAGATATTTCGCACTTGCCGCGCACACGTGTCGCGAATATTTAAACGTAACTCGAATAACTCTCTCTCTCTCTCTCTCCTATTCATAGGGGAGCGCGAGGCGGTATTTTCGGTGTTCTAACCTTCCCTCGAAGAAGGGTCTCATCGCTCTCGAGAAAAAGAAACGGAGAACTGCGCGAGTTTTCCAAATGCTAGCCTTGAACGAACAAGAAGAGAGAAGTAGGGAAAAACGAAACGTCAGAAGGAAGCGAAGCGCTCTCGCGCGCGCGAGATTACGGGGCCGCTCTTAAAACAAAAGCGAGATCCTCGAGGAGACTGCTTTTCAACGCGAAAACTCCCCGAAACCCGGAAAAATCCCTCCCGAGAATCCCGTCCGATTTTCTTTCGCGAAGAAAAAATCCTTTGGGCACCGCCGGGTTCCCCGGGTCTCGTCGGATGACGGCTCCGTTTGAAACAGAACCCCCTGTTTACGGAATTATACAACGGGTCTATTCATTTGGATCCCCTAATTGTCCCGAGCGGTGTATAACAGATACACCCGCCTTCGGCATGCGGGCGATATTTATGATATTTGTTTTTCTTCGAGTGTAACGTCGGAAGTGCCTCTCGTCTTTCGGCGAATCGGCTACGTCCGCAGCGCAGGAAAAGGATTACTTGTGCATTATCTTGTATATTAATTCTCTCTCTCTCTCTCTCTAATTCGCTCGCTCCTTCTCTTTCTCTCACATCGTACGACATACATTATTATTATTATCCTTCTACGCTCGGTGAGTGCGACATAGTGCGCATCAAAGAGCGACTGCACCGGCATATGCGGGCGGACGTATGAAATATAGTGGTAAAAGTGTCGCTGACACGTTGGAAAAATCGCTACTGCGCCCGAAGGAATAAATTATCGATATACGGACATGTGTCCCCGTCCCCCACTTTTCTCTATGACCCATCGCACAGCTGAGTTCGCAAAGTTAAAGCGGAGCGAGCGGAACTCCCTTAAGAACGGCGTCGATACCGTGTCGAACTCTTCTTACCCGACGGTTCTTCTTTCTTTTTCCTCCCCTTTTTTTTTATTTCAATATCGATCGGTTGAGAGGGTCGTTAAAGCTGTGCCGTGGATACGTCGGGGCGATTATTATAGTGACATAAAAAAACGGCAGTACTGAAAGAAATTACTCTCGCACGCGTAAGGATTCAATTATCCAAACGGCGATTAAATGACACGAGATCGACCATTGGGGCACATCTCGTGTTTTGTCCTTTTTTCTTCTAGCGAACGATCGTAGAAAATTACAGTTAGTTTCGGCGTTAAACATATTTTTTAACCACGAAAATAATCATGAGAACCATTTTTTTAGTAAGTGCTACTATAGTGTCAGTAATAATAATCTTATATGCATGTTGCTACTATTATTAAAGATATTTGGCGCCGGAACTACATAATGAAAAACATTTTGTACTTGTGTTAAAATCGAACCTTGTTAAAATTTTTGCGTTAAGTTTCTAACATACCCGTGTATATTAAGTGAATATATTGTGTTTATATCTTAATATATTTTATGTTAAGTCGATTTTCAACACATGTAAGTGTTAAAATAACACATTTTATATTTCAGCGTTAATATATTAATATATTATTATATTCAGATTCAGATATTAATTTTGTGTTAATTTTTGACACAATATACTTTTCAACATATTCACCTTGTGAAATTAACACAAGAATTTGTGTGGACCGTTTGGGACACGTGAAATGTTAAATTTAATGTTAAATCTGAAATCTTTTTCATTATGTAACTATAATTTTCTATCGATGAACTGTTACCGATAACAACGGGGGAATTTTAAGGATACGATTACCGGTATACGCTTGGCGTACAATCATGTGTGATCGTGATATACTGTCGCCTCGGTTCAATGAGAAACAATCGATGTGCGTCCGATCGTCCGAGAGAGAAAGAGAAAGAGAGGAAATTGGCGTTACCGAAGGTACTTGAAAAATAAAACAATCGAGATGCGCGAATGCGATTGAATGACAGACTCAACGAGCGAGAGTGCCGCGGTGGGAAATGATAGAGGTACATTGCGCGGATTTTACTGGAACGCGTGTCCGTGCCGTCCATTAGTAGCCGGTCTACTAGAGACGAACGGCTGCGGTAATAGGTTCGAGTCTTTTAAGACGCGGTGTTCCGCGAATTCTGCAACGAGAGGACATCAAAGCCTTTATTGCACGTCGGCAAGAATACTTAGCACTTTAATGGACAAAGGGCCGCGGACATCAAAGACTTTATGTTGGCAGCTAATGAGAAATTATTATATAGCGTATACATGTATATAAAGATCATTTCAGTGGTTGCGGAGCTTCCCCGGCGACACTGTGGACGATAACTCACGAATATATAAATAAATATCGGGACGACAGTCCAGAATTCAGAGATCGTCGAATTTCAAAAGGGCCAATTGCTTAGTACAAAATAATTAATTTCTATGGAGACATATTAATCTCGTGGTAAACGTGTGCGAATTACCGAGAATGCCCCGTTCCCCTTTTCTCGTTTTCGACGAATGACGCGACGTGGTGTTGCCACCTTTCCAGTTTTCGCCCGGAGTTCCGAGAAATCCAAATTTTCGGGCCAATGCGGCAAAATATGAAACCGATGAATTATGAACTTAGAGCAAAGCAAATGATTGAAAAATGTCATAAGTAACACTGAATATATTCTAAAAGTAAAGAAGCAATTGTAATAATTAAAAGACCTTTTTTTTTGAGATTCTCCAATCGATCTCCAGGCGGGCGAACGTACTAAAGTAGCAACCTACTGTATGTTCGCGAGGGTTATCGACCGTATCGGCATTTTCATGGCGTCCCACACTTGCGAAATCCAGGTGATCGGTGCCGAATAATGTAGGTTCTCATGTTTATTCATAGACGGCCGCGCGGCCCGCCACGTGCGGCGCAGACGTTACGCTCGCGCTCGCAATTTCGCGTGTTGTGCCGCGAGATCCGCCGATCGTGCATTGTTCTTTTGCTCCTAAGCGGCCGTTTTAAAGGCGGCTGAATCATCTCCTATTCGTAGACGCCAATGTACACTAGCCGTCATAAAGGTTTCACTATCGCTGAAACAGAAAGCGAGCTCCTCCGGCACGTGTCCAGGCCGAAACAATGAAATCCGATCATTTCGAGCCGCGACTCGAGAACGCACCGCTTTTAAGAGCGGCCTGAACGAGCACATTTTCAACCATGTGTCTCATCTTCCAAGTGAAAAACGATGATTCGCTTTCAGATGATCAAGTCCGATATAAACCTTATTTCAAGTACGCAATAAAAAATCTTGCGTTAAATTTAACACATTTCACATGTAATCCAAACTTTTGTGCTTAATGTAACGAAGCGATTATGTAGAAAAGTAACACGAATATTATACCCAAAATTAACACAAAATTAATGCATTAACGGACATAACATAAATACAATCTGTTAAATTACGGGTAGGTTAAGAATTTAACACACAAATTTTAACTAGAACCGATTTTAACACAAAATGTATTTCACGTAGATGCGATTCCCTCAATCATTTTTTTATTTTCCAAAGTTATGTATCGAATCTCCCTATTTGTAATCGAATTTGTTTACCAAAGGAAATTTTCCTCTCTCGTGCGAATAAATAGATAATAACAATAATAATAATATTCTCCGCTGCGAAACACGTGATTTATGACAGTTACTGTACGCACATGCACGCGTGTGCCGCGGACAAAATTGCCGCCACCGTCGACTACCGAAAGCTCGGCGAAAGCCCGGCCTCTCTCTCGTGCGCGCGCGTCGATCTCGCGCTTTGCTTCCCTTGATTTTCCGTCCACGGATTGATTGACGCGCGCATCGGCCGCTGCCTCTGCGCGATACTTTTCCAACGCGGGCGACCACGTCAGTGACTTCGAAATGGCACGCGCGCTCGGCGGTGATGCAAATATAGATTTGCAAATTGATTCACGTGCGCCGCGAGCGCGTAGATCCCGCGTTAACCTATTTTCCTTCGCGTACTTTCGCACGCCGGTGA